GTTACATCTTGAGATCACCCTTTAAAATACACTGAAGTTACACCTACAGTAGCTGCTAGTATCAGATCCAGAGAAATATAACCAGTACCAGCACATGTGGGCCACAGGTTGTATTTGAACCATTGCTGCTGTGGTAAGGACCCAGCCTTGGTACATGGGACATAAGGTCTACCAGGTGAGCTACAGGGGTGCCCCAAAAGATATTTAAGTCTTTTATCTCTGTGATTTTCAGAGGGCGTTTTGACGAGCCCATCGCTGTGTTCTGCACTGCCTGTGTGGTGGAGGCCTATGCCTACCTCCACAAGAAGAACATCATGTACAGAGATCTGAAGCCTGAGAACCTGATGCTAGACGTAAAGGGCTATGTCAAACTGGTGAGTACCTACCTGTGCATGTGTGTTGATTCCTAAATTCTAGATAATGACCAGTTTAATTCAGCAAATGTGCTTGTCTACGGTGTGTGAGCATGTGTTTTTGTACTCCACTAGGATTTTCACCTATAGAGGCATGATAATGAATAGGATCTGCATATTCTCATACGTCTCTGTGCAGGTGGACTTTGGTTTTGCCAAGGAGATGGTGCGTGGTGAGAAAACCTACTCATTTGTCGGTACTCCTGAGTACATGGCCCCTGAGATCATCAAGAACCAGGGACATGATTTTGCAGTTGACTTTTGGTCCCTTGGCATCCTGATTTTTGAGCTACTGGTGGGAAGGTAACACAAACACTAATACACCTGTCTTTATTTGGAAACAAGCTTCTTCTGTCCTTTATGGTTGATATTATTTAAGATTGTATTAATAATTGATTGTTAAGTAAAAAAAAAATATATATATATATATATATATATTTTAAGAGAGTCACACAAATATGGTGAAGTGAGAATGAATGAGTGAAGTCTTCATGTTAACCAGTAGATGGCAGCAGGGATGTGTGACTGACACCAGCAGAATTCAGCGTCACAGTGTTCAGGTTCAACAGCAGCCGACCAACTAACCACTATGATGGATGGTCGAAATATTAAAACAACAACATTCTTCTCTCTTTTCTTGTCAGCCCTCCGTTTTCAAGTTCAGAGCCTCAGAAGATTTATGCCAAGATTTTGGACGGGGTGCTCAAGTATCCACCTTACTTGAGTGAGGCAGCCAAGTCCATTATCAGCAAACTGTGCAGGTGAGATGGACATACTGACTGCATCATGATTCAAATTGAATATACTGATAATGACATTGTTTGAATTCAAAATTAACTTGGTGTGTTGCCTGAATAACTTTCTCATGGAATAGATCATCTAGTATGCTTGTGAAAATTACACAAAGCTTTCAACATTTCATACAGTTACTCGCAGCGCAGAGCATGAATTATGGAACATATCTGCAAATCAACACACTGTGTCCTAATGTGCACTCAGATTTTTTTCAGATTTTTTGAATGCAAATCTCTTGATGTGTTTTTGTTTGCAGACCTCGGCCAGGTCAGAGGTTAGGAAACACAAAAAATGGAATCAAAGATGTCCGTAATCACAGGTAACCATGGCAACATGTCATACCATATGTGATACAACATAATCCTTCGGTTGAAAGGCACAGGAATTATTCATCAGCTGGTCTGTTTTATGTTCTTTATCTAAGTATCAAGCTTGTTCTTCTTGTCTTGACTGTTTAAGTTCCTCTGCTTTTCAACTCGGGATGAATCATTTTAGTTGTTTCTCACTCTCAGTATGTTTGACCTGTAGTCTCCCTCATCTCTTCCCTTCAGGTGGTTCAGCAGTATGAACTGGCACAAGCTGCGTGTGGGTCAGCTCAACGCCCCCACAGTCCGACTCATACGCAAGGCAAGTCAGAAATCACTAGAGTTTGTTTACTATTACATGAAAAGTGTCTAACACCTTTTGTGTGGTTTAAAGAAAACAGAACCAAAGAAGAAGGTTGGTTCACTTGCAGAGAGTCATACAAGACTTACTGCAGTTTTAAAGCCCTGTAAACTAAAGCCCTGTAAATATTCAGTATTCTCTCTATAACAGTGAAAATGTATGACTCAAATGTGCAAAAAACATAAATTTAACACTTCAAATCTCAGTTAATGTTATTAAAAGTCAAATAAGACCTAACACTCAAATAGACCTAAACCTTTTTAGGTCCTTATTCTATTTACATATAGAAGCAGCAGGCTGTTGTTAATAAGTCACAATTTGACAGGACTGTGTGAATTAAATGTATCCAGAATTTTCAATAATCTATATTTTTTTCCCTCCCCCAGGGCCCCTGCTACATCAACTTTGATCGTTTCCCTCTTGATCAGACTAAAGCAGAGGAGGAGTTCTCTGGTTGGGACCGTGACTTCTGATATTAAAGGATCAAGGCCAAAAGAGTTTTCCACATCACTCAAATATGGAACCAAATCAGAATAACCTCACTAAGCCAAAACATGGTTAAGGCCAAATGATGGTAGTAGTAACGTCATACTTCAATAACCATAACCCATTTCATACTAATTTAAACATTCAATTAGAGTTGAACTGCAGGAAATCACAACTTCCAAAATATTTATTAAAGCTTCTCTGTTGCTATAGAGAGACAACCATCTAGGTGGCAAAGGGCCAAAAGCAAGTGGAGGTGTTAAGACAAGATGTTAGGACGTTCTGTTTCCAAATTCAGCGAAGGGAGATTTGGTGCTTGATGAAGAAGTGTTGATAACATCATCCATATAACACTCCTCACTGATTAGAATAAAACACACATCTGAGTGCTTGCTAGCTGAGAAAAAAAAAGGCTTGAGTCATATTGTACAATCTGGACAAAAGGCTGGCTCATATCAAACCTGACAATTACATACTGTTGTCAGATATGTATTTTTCTCCAATGTTTAGTGTTCTTTTGGATCTATGTTGGTTTTAAAGATGAACCATGCTTAAGTGCTTATAGCAAAGCTGTTAAATGCTTTCATTTTGTTAAAGTTGCTGTTTTTTTATTATAAACTGTCACTTTCTTGTGTTTTGTTTCTTTGTTTTCTCTTTTCTTGCCCACATTTCGTGGGCAGATTAGTTTCACGCACCTTGATTGTAATTCATACATCATCATAAGATCATAGAACATCGTGATGAACATTTTTTACATGACTCAAGTTTAGTAAATAAAAGTGCTCTTATACGCTTTAGTTAGCTGTGTTTGTTTCCTATACTTACCAACCATTGTATTCCAATCAAATCCCAAGTGTGAAACGGTGCACATATTTTGCTGTTGTCGCCAAATCACACACACACATATGGCATACAGTAAGCAATGAAAGCGGGAATTTAGAGTGTGAGACAGTAAACAATACACAAGGGGAAATATTGTGCTTATGAAGATGTTATCAGAGAGGAAAATGGCCCTGGACACACGGCGGTGTTTACAGGTTTAATCTGATGTTCTCCACCTCGGTTGCAGCTGATTGTTTGGCTCTGGATGGGTACAGCTGTCTGTTATGACTACAGGTTTTTAAGGCAGGAGGAAAGAATTCTTTTGTTCCTTCCTGATAATGCCTGTGACTTGCCTACTGAGGCTGTTTTTCCACATCAGAAAAAAAAACCTCACATGAAAGCAATCATATCTTCCAAAAGGGAAAGATACCCTGCCAGATGTTTCCCTCCTGCAGAAAACACCTTGAAGTCTGGAATTTAATGCACTGATGGCTATGACAGCAGTGGCCCAGAGGATGTACTGTATAGTACAAAATGATCTGTCCACAGGAGTGAACCGTGGTTTCCTTTGTTTGCAGACAACCTTTCTTTACCTGCAGCCAGTGCATGCAACATGACAGAATAAACAGGATTAAAGGATAAAGCTTGTGTTATTCTGTAGTTTTCTTGCTGTCAATAAATCTCACGAGAACACCAAAACAACCCAACTACAGGGGGTTAAAGACTTTCTGACTTCCCAGCTCTGTCTGTGGCACTCAGCCCTAAGCCTATTCATTCCTCCTGAGACCTAAATCTTTCAAAATGGCTCACAATGATATGGTTCCACCTCTCAATCTACAAACTGCTCCTGACCCCTCCGACTGGTGGAGATTGTTTGAGCTGCAGTCGGCCTGATAAGATCTGCAGACACTATTCAGGGTTGAAAAGCTACTCAGTAGACAGTAGAAAGGGACATCAATGGAATATAAGGTAGTAAAAGACAGTGTTTTGGTACAACTACAAATACAACACCATCCATGAAAACAATGTGATTTTAATTAAGATGCAAATACAACATTTTGGACCAATGAAACAACATGTGATTTTAAGTCGGGACAGTGCATTAATCCCCAAATAATAATAATAATAATAATAATAAATGTGTTCATACTGTGCAATAACAATCTAAACTATAATGACAGAAGCTTTAAGGCAATTAGGGCTCCACTATTACCTAATATTGAAGGCCTATCTTGTACATGGGTCCTACTGTAAGTGAAAATGCAGTTTTAAATGCCTTAATATTTTAGTTCCTAGATTGCATTTTATTAAATCAATAAGTGCTTAATAACAACAAACACAAACAAGACCAGGTAGGGGTCACACGAGGACCCACAAAAACATTTCAGATTTATTTAAAAACAGAGTAATCATGATGTATTATCTGAAGATCCCCAACAGGTTTCCATCCCAATGTAGAGCAACTTTTCAGAAAATCATGAAAGGAAAACGTAACTACATTTCCAGAATCTCTTGGTTCATCAAGATAAACAGTAGGTGGCACAAATTCTCCAGTAAGATGCCATTATCATTATACACTACAGAAGAAGAGCACATAAAACATCAAATGGTGGGGAAAATTATTAAATTATTATTTAAATGTAGAATTATTATATATTATACTATTGCATTTATGTTTGATGGATTAATTTGAGGAACGTTAGTTAGTCCACACAGATGCCTGCCACCATTTTTCATCTTGTCAGACAGTGGAGACATTCTGTGAAAACTGAAAATGTCTAATGCAGGGTTAGATCAACTCACCAGAAGGCCTATGGAGCAGAAGCTTCACTGGACATATTCATGTCATATTTCATGTTCGTCATGATTACGTAAGTCTCCTTTCATTGAACTTTGTTGCATTTCGCTTTTATCGATACATCAACTTTTCCACCTCAGCCAAGCATAACATTTCTTTTGCAATATTTTGAGTTTTATTTTGAATTTAATGTGTTTCCTCTTTTTGTTATGCTTAAACTGACTGAAAAACTAAAAAAAAGCAGGTGGTTGGAAACACACCTATTACATCCTCACACTGATATTGCATCAGGGAGTGTTGTATCACATGTATCAAATTAGGTGTTATCACTTATAGCTTTTACTAATTGTTGTCATTGAACCAACCTAACAGTGAATCTGTTGAGACCCGGATAAAAAAACATTTTCCCAGAGTTTAGTCGAGGATTTGACAGTTTCTGCTCTTTCTGAAAATATCTTCAGGTCATTCTCACTCTCGCTGTGGGAAATTTGTGCTGAGCCCAGTGTGAGAGGATTGGCTCCTGCAGCCTGAGGTTTAGTTAACACCGCCAGGGAAAGCAGATCTTTTGTTGTCACAGCAGGGCTTTGTTCTGTTTCTTTTCTCATTTGTCTTGTCAGTAGATGTTCTCTCTGGTTGAGTTTTCTTTACTGGGCAATCTTGAGATAATTAGAGTCAGTCTACTTAAGTCCCACTGTTTGCTCTCCACTTCGCCCAGTCTCTGATGTCTGAGAGGTCTGAGTGGGCAGCTGTTTCTGTGGATGGTAGTCCTGATAAATGATTAGCTAACCTGCTCACCTCCAGTGATTTTATTGTCCACTGTTTCTGTCGTTTGCCTCAGTTTTTGTGGTTAAGACTAAAATACTGTCCAATCATTCAGAGTCACCCTCTTTTTCTCTGTGCCAGAGTCTCCAACACCTCTTACACCAACTCCCATTTACATTTCCCACAAAAACCCAGCTCTGCATCACATGTTTGTTTCCCCCATGTGGTTAGCATTTATAACCTGAGACTGCAGGGAAGCTGACAACACAATCATGTTTGTTATGTAAGCTTATGCATTGCACACGCATGTTAATGTATCAGCACATTGCTTCTGATATGTAATAAGCTGTTGTGTGTGTGTGTGTGTGTGTGTGTGTATGTGTGTTTGTTTGGGTTAACATGATGTACACAAACATGTTCGTGCTAAGCCTGAGCTGTGCTTATATAACCTCTTCAAACAACATTTTGATTCAGCTCTATAGGACACAAGGATTACAAAATATAGTTTTTCTCTTTCAGTTTTTTATCAAATCTTAAAATTTCAACCTTGGATCTAATAATAGGGCTATAATACACTGTGTAAAAGAAAAAGTTCCACCTTTTATCCTTAGACATTTTTTGCACCATTGACTCCCATT